TTAGGAAGATCATCACCACCTGTCCCTGCAGCCTCCCTGGCACCGCCCCCTTGAGCTCACTGCATCACTCCTCCCCTGCGGCTGAGCCAGGGACCACACCTCCACCACAGTTCGGATTTCTAAATAATATTTATTGGGTGTTTATAATTCATCTAAGCATTATCAGTTACAATTACCATCAATCTGCATTTTGTTATTATTCAATTCAGAACTGCCCAGACCAGACACAGTGACATTCCACCAGAATCCCTTTGATCTCTGATCTTCTTTGTGACATCAGCACACTAAAACCCTTAAAGAGGGGAAAGGTTCTCATTCTTGTCAGTCTTTCAAAGATAGTGGAAGAATTCACTAGGCAGGAAAACACTTAAACTACTCGAAACTTCAGTTTCTGACACAGTTGACAGCATTTTTAAAAAATCTTTTAGTTAGTACAGAGATTTAGCATCAACTTCAATTTGAAATATGAGTCTGTCAAATCCTGTTGTATGCAACCTGAGAGCCGAGAACGAAAAACTTAAACAGCAAATCAAAGAGCTGAAAAATGAGAATAAAACTCTCAAACAACAAAACTCTACCATACGTGACCTTAAAGTCGAGAACGCCGACCTTAAGGAGCAAAAAAGAGAGCTCATAAATGAGAACAAAATTCTCCAAAAAAACATTGAAGTTCTCTTCAAACGAAGTGGGTTCTCTAAAAACAAGAGAAAAAGAGACCTGCAACTAGAGAATGAAACAATTCACATCAGAATTCAAGAGCTGGAATATTTGAATAAAGTTCTACAGGATGCACAAAGCTCCAATAGCAAAGAAATTCAGCAACACAAAGAGGTGACGCAGGAAATGCAGGATGAAATCAGAGAGCTGCAAAGCAAAAAGGCAGGCTATGTTATAAAAGTGAAAGGCATGGAAAAGGACAACCAGTCTTTAAGAAAGAAAAATGATGTGATGATAAAACGCATGTGTGAGCTGGAAAGGGACTTTGAAAAGGAAAAAGATGACATGCAACAGGAAATACAGGCTGTTAAAACTGAGCTCCATCAGGCAAACACAGCCTTTAAAGAGTTACAAGAGAGTGAAGAAAGAAAAAGGATCATGAATGAGGAAAGCAAAACAATGGACAGTGCACAGCTCAGACAGACCCTGGAACTCCAATGCTTTGCACATGAAATTGACATATTGAGGCATAATGAACTTCTTGAACAGGACCTCCAGGAGCTTTCCAAAAGGAGTGGTGATTCTCAAAAAGAACTGAAACCACACGATGAGGGTGTGAAAGGAGAATCACGGATCTTCAAAGCCACTGAGAAAGACTCTGAACATGATTTTAACGTGACCAACAGAGAAAAGGAGTTGTTGTGCCATGAATTTGAGGAAATGAAAAGAGAGCTTGAAGAGGTCAAGAAAAATCTGTATGATTACAGGAAGCCTTGAAAACAGAAGACATGGCGTTGCAAACCCAAGCTCAGACTCCCAAAGTTTCACAGGAAGAACATAACAATCTGATAAACAACTACGATGTCCAAGTTGACATACTCAAACAACAAAATAAGGCCTTAGAAAATAAGGTTAGTGACCTTACCAAAAAGATGTGGAATGGACGGGAAGCGATGAGACAAATGGAAAAGAACTTTCAAGAACAAAGGAAGCTACTCGAAAATCTCCGAGGAGAATTCGAGGAAATTTAGCACAACTACGACTTTGGCCCTCCCTATTAAACCTGGTTAACACAGGTTCAATAGGGCTATAACTTAGACAATGGAAGTTCATTTGATTTAATTGGCCCAAAATGAGTGACTGCACCCAGACACTCAGTAGCAAAAGAATTACAGAGATTCAAGAGAGAAAACTGTTTCTGCATAGACTCCTATAGTACTGCAAGTCGTGTCATCGCTTGGTGTCCTGCATAGAGTGCAGGTTTAAGGTATCTACGTATCTTTCAGAATTAGAAGCTATGCTGCGTCAGGGGTTATAACAGCTGTGCCCCCCCCCCAACCGGTCGAGGCAGATGGCCGCCCCTCACTGAGCCTGGTTCTGCCGAAAGTTTCTTCCTGTTAAAAGGGAGTTTTTCTTTCCCACCGTCACCAATGGCCTTGATGACTGATAACCTTCACAGACACTGTCATCAAGGGTTTGCTCACAGGGGATCATCTGATTGTTGGGGGGTTTTCTCTCTTATATTGTATGGTCTTTACCTTACAATATAAACAGCCAAGAAGCGGCTATTTTTGCGATCCGGTGCTTTAGAAATACATCTTAGCTGAACTGAACTCCATAACATCTGGACCGAAATGCCTACACACAACGGTAGGCATTTCAATCTGTCCAAAACGTTCAATGACAAGCATCAGCACCAGGATTGTTTTTTAGCTCACCAACAGTTCATGTTCCATACCCAGTTTTTATTGTGACTGCAACTTTGTAAGACTGGGTTGGGAGATGTTCTTGTGGTGAGCTTTTATTCACATAATTGGTTTCTTTAATAGTGAAATAAAATATATTTGTATAACTGGAAACAGCGTTCTCATGTGTGATTATCACATTGTATTCTTTAAACCATGTAACAGAATATATAATATATATAATTTACTCATAGTAATATTAATATCTAATGTGATTGAGTTTCCTCATCTCTACTTATGTGCTGATGTGTTCACTGAGGCCATTGTATGGTCCATTTTGGCTGCATTTCCATGTTTTAAACATGAAATTTGCTTATTTAAAGGGTGTCTCATGTATCTCTTATGCAGAAATATGTGTTGCCTAGCTGGACAAATGTAGCACAGGTCTACTATTATTGGCCTAATGTATTTTACCAATCATTTCAGCATCCAGATAATCTCTTTCATACTCCCTTAGATGAATTTAGCCTGGTTGTCATGAAATAGGCATTTGAAACAATAACTACCAGTATCTTCGAATGTGTGTGATTTCACTAATCCTACACATTCTTTGCAAGACAACTGGGTGCTTTTATGTAAAGAATGATCTGAGAACACTGAGGCTAATGAAGTAACAAGAGAAACATAGTAAGTAGTCTTTCAGTTTGCATGATCAATTTTGATTATTGTTCATTTTCATTTACCATGTCAACATGTTTTAGAGCAACGTTTTCTGATTTTGAGCTCTTTTAGGTGTAAGTCATCGTCAGTGATTACCCTAAGCCCAAAGCAACACCAAACATGGGCAACCAAAATGCATCATTTTGTTAGCATGTAATTGTTCTCCCAATTCTTAGAAATCAGGAAACAACAAAAATAACAATTTTAACTTACAGACATGAAACACTCCCCCACCCTGGAAAAAAGTCAATTTTGCCTTTTACAAAAATATAAGGTTAGTGTAATGTTAGATTTTGCATTAATACCTATGACTAAGACCTCAAAGGTAATTCCTCGACTGCTTCAGTAACAGCCTGGTTGATTTTAACAAGTTAAGTAAATTTGCGGTCAATTTAGACTCAATTCAAAATCTCCTACTTGGGACGAACACTAAATGTAAATAGCTGACTTTCTAAATAAACCTATCCATCTTTGCAAGGTCAATTTTTGCTTTCACTAAATTCCAAATGTTTAGCCATAATTAGCTTAGCTGTCCTACTCTTGTTACTGCTCTTTCCTACTGCTGTTACAATCAAATGAACATCTCTGCAAAGATAAATTAGCTGAGACCTTAAGTTGATGGTAGTTACTAGCAAACACACAAACTTACATACACTATATAGTACAGTTCTATGATACATCACCAAATAGAACAATTTGTGGCAATGCAGACAAGCAGAGAAACAGTTTAATTAGTTGAATTTGTTCACTTGATCGGAGGTGTGTTTCCTGCAGATATACAACATCGGATCTCAATGATTTTAAATGAGTAAAAACCCTTGTACCGGATTATTTATACCTTTAACATTCCAGCTTATAAAACGAAGAGCAGATGACTTTGCGAGCTTGCCATTCAGGTACCAAAATGCAGGTGCAGAAAAAATATGTCCCAACCTCTGGAATAATAAATCTTTCGTGCTTGAATCGATACGGTCCAATATCCTCTTTTCAGAGCTAGCAATAGCTCTCATAATCTCACTCATGTCATGGGCTGGTGCCTCCGGTCTGTCCTCAGCATGGTCCTGTCACGATCTGACGGCGCCCTGACCGGTCGACCTGCCAGTGTGTGTGTGTGTGTGTGTGTGTGTGTGTGTGTGTGTTCACCCAGGGATTGACGGAGGATTTACGGACACTAAGGAAGCACTTGGAGGAGAGACGGGCACTCACTACCACGCACGGGCTTACACGGAAGGAGGGACGCACTATCACCATTGTTGCACATTTGAACTGTTGTCACCTTGCTGCACTGTAAATAAATGCACTGTCATTATTTCTGAGCTCCGCGCCTGAGTCCACTCTTTAACAACCGTGACAGGTCCGAGGCTTTTGCGGCCTGCTCTTTCCCCGATCTAGTTTTGCTCATATTTCGTACACCGTAGCCTTGAAGATGTAAAAAGTGCCTCAGAGCAGCACACGGGCGTGTTATCGTACTGTTGTTAAAAGTTCGTTAGTTTTGGAGCAATGGAATTATGAAAAAAGTTAGTCCATTGAGGAGCCCTGTACAACACGTCTTCACATGGCTACCAGACACTATCATTATGAAAAGGAAAAATAAAGACATGCATCTGTAAACACATCAGCCATGTCCATGTCAGGGCAGCGACTGCTGACAACTCATTTTATAGATGAGCTTTAATCTGTTTCCTGTTGTTTTGGCTTTTGTTCCTCTCGTGTGTGTGTGTGTGTGTGTGTGTGTGTGTGAGATTGTTTGTGTGTGTGTGTGTGTGTGTGTGTGTGTGTGTGTGTGTGTGTGCAGCAGTGAATGCACCGCTGTGTGGACAGGTACTCTGGTCTTAATGTGGAGTTTTATCAGACTGTGAAACACTTTGTGTTTTAAAACAGAAAATATTTGATCTGAATTTATTTTGAAAATCACCGTCACACAGCTGTCTCGTCGCTTTCACAGATTTTTCTGTGAACAGATGAGCAGCAGAAGTTTTCAGCATTTTACATTCAGATGTTTCACAAACTGTTGGATTGTCTGTCTGGGATTTCATAGCCAGTCATGTGACTGCTGTCCTGCCAATCAGCTTCACTGTATGTGAGACGTCTTATTGTTTAGCATTAAACTTCATGTTGTCTCAGCCTTATGATGTGTGTTACTGGCATCAAATTCAAAATAAGAGCATAAAAATGAAGCAACTGAAAGTTCTGACAGGGACAATAAAATATCAATAGACTTTATTGAATAGAGTTTACAATGAAGATGGATGCAGAGCCATGACTGTAGTTTACAGAATCAAACAGCAGCAGAGACATTTCTGAGACAGAAAAATGTATATTTAATATCATAATAGAGAGCATAAATGCCCGATTCACTGACATATACGGCATATCTACTGTTATATTGCTGGGTGCTCATTTGAACTATAAAGTATGAAGTCAAAAAGCTCAGACATCAGGCTGCTCTGAACACTCAGTTTCACCTTTTTCTCCTCTTGAACTTTCATATGTAGAGACAGGATATCATGAACATTTATATCTGAGACACAGAAGGTCCGCTCACCTGCTCACCTGCAAACTTTAGCTTCACCAATCAGAAGAAACAAAGAGGCATAAAACAGCTCACACTCTGTGATCTGAGCTTAGGATAAAGAAGGATGATTTCCAACTGTCAGTCATGCAAAGCTACGCTGTTACAGTCCAGCAGTCAGAGTACAGAGATGGAAATAAGTTGAATTACACAGCAGATCACCTGAGGAACATCAGCCAATAACGTTCAGACTAAACCGCCACAGTCTTCCTTCTCACAGTAAGCGGCTGTCTCCTCCTCTCTGTGGAAAACCTTCCCATCAGGCTGCGTCCTCCACCTCAGCTTCACCTCCTCTCTGATCCCTTGCTCCACCAGCTTCTCCCTCACCTGAAACACAGTTTTCACACATTAACAGAAGCTCCTCATTAATCAGCCGTTGTTTCTGTAGTGAGCAGAAAACGTTGTTCGTGCTGTTTCTGGGGGAAATGAACTAAATGAACTGGCTGGGGATGAAACTGGAGTCTGGAATTAGGCCTCATTGCCTGTCATTGGTTCACGTCGTCTCCTCACAGCAATCTGAAATTAAGTGACTTCTTCAAGTTACCAGTTAAAAAAGGTTAAATAATACAAATGGATGGGATTGCATTAAACGAGCCCCGTATCTCTGCAGCTGTGTGCTGTCACGTGTCCCTGAACCTGCACAGACTCACTGCTCTCTATCATTTCACAGTAGTTATAGCGGTCTGTTCCTTGTATCGGGGCCCGTGTGTGACCTCTGACCTGCTGCAGGATGGATTCTTGCACTGTGGGGTCGTTCAGGTCTGCAGATCCCACCCTCAGCTGAACCTTCACTGACCTCGAGGCTGAAGGTTTGACATCTGCAGAGAAAGAAAAGCCCGATGAGCCCAGGAGGACCAGACTGTGCAGAAACACAGAGGACAGACTCACCTCTGGAGCAGAGGAACCTCTACAGGTCTACCAAAAAATCAGTCAGACAACTACAGCTCATTCAGAACTCTGCTGCTCGAGTCCTCACTAAGACCAAAAAAGTGGACCACATCAGTCCAGCTCTGAGGTCTTTACACTGGCTGCCTGTCCGTCAGAGGATAGACTTTAAAGTTCTGATGCTGGTCTATAAAGCTCTGAATGGTTTAGGACCAAAATACATCAGTGACCTCCTGACCCAGTATGAACCTTCCAGATCCCTCAGGTCATCTGGATCCGGTCTTTTATCAGTTCCCAGAGTCAGAACCAGACACGGAGAAGCTGCATTCAGCTTTTATGCTCCTTATATCTGGAACAAACTCCCAGAAAGCCTCAGATCAGCTGAAACACTCAGTTTATTTAAATCCAGGTTGAAGACTCACCTGTTCTCAGCTGCATTTGAATAAAGCACCAAATCCACACTTTTAAGCTTAAATTTCAAAACTTACATTTTAACTACTGATTTTAAATATTTATGTTTCTTTTAATCAATTTTAAATCATGCTTTTTATTGTTTTTTTTTAATGTCTCTGTAAAGCACTTTGAATCACCTTGTTGTTGAATTGTGCCATACAAATAAACTTGCCTTTCTTTGCCTTGCCTTGCCCTGCATTGTCTCTGGAGCAGAGGAAGGGGCGTTGGTCATCACACTTATGACTGTTGAAGGAGCCTGTTGATCCGACTATTGTGGCACAGTTTAGACTGTTATCAGGCTGCCCGGGCCCCCACGGCAGGTTGGAGGCTGTGCTCGAGTTTGACCACGTCCAGTTTCTGTACAGTCCAATCCAACTCATATAATAAGATGGCATCGTATTAGCGACCTGGCTGTTGTCCTGCGTGTCGTTGATGGTGCTCAGGTCTGTGTACGTCTGTCTGCAGTGAGACTGAGCATCAGACCAGGTCATTCAGTTCTTCACCAGGATGTGTTTGTTAGTCGCAGCTGAAACAAAAGATCAGACGGATTCAAACCTGCAGCTAAAATGTTCAGTTAGTCAAACCCTGGTACCAAAGTCTGAAACACTCACCGTCATAGCAGACAAAGAAATAAGTAGCTGAGCACGGTGCAGTGGACCATGATCCATCACTAAATATTGTAACACACTCATCAGTCCCTGGCTGTCCCGGTGACCACATGTTAAACCAGGATGACTGAACTGGACCAGTTTGAGACCATTCCCAGCCGCTCCTGGAGAGTCCAATCCACGCCTCGGTGCTCCCCGCCCTTTTCTGGGCTTCCTGGATGAGAGCTGAGCTGTTAACGATGGCGAGGTCAATGTACTCATCTCTGCAGTATTGCTGAGCATCGTTCCAGGACTTCTGCAGGTCAACCAGGTGGAGCTGTCTGACTAACTGATCAGACTGAAGATGGCAGACCATCACGTAACCTGAGAGGACACGAGTCAGTCAGCGCGGTCACAGACTCACCTCAGCTCGACTATTTTAGTCATCAGGAGAATAAATTCTTTACATGCTACCACAACGCAAACTTTTTGTTGACATCTTTAAAGACGTGAATATATGTTAATATATGTGTCCTTCAAAGGATGTGTAACTCGTGCACTGGTTAAAAGCTGTTTTACGGTGCCTGTGGACACCTACACACTGGTTTCCTGCTCCAGGGCGAAACTCTCACATCAGCTTAAAAAGCTGCTTTAACAGTGCTAAGTTTGTTTTTCACTCTGGCCTACATGTATTTGGACGATTTTTCCTCTTCAGTGTGCACAATGAAGGAAAACGACGTGTTAGTGGTCGAGGCTCAAAGCTGAACAACACGTGCACTAGGGCTGGGCCATATTATACCGTTCACGGTAATACCGGTACAATGTTAGGCAACGATAGGAAAATGAAATATGTACATATTTCACGGTAATACCGGTACAATGTTAGGCAACGATAAGAAAATGAAATATCGTGACAGAATATGGGTAAAACGTGCATGCAGTGCCTTTGTTTTCATACGCACATGGCCGAAAAAGCATGGCGGTAACGGAGAATGAGAAGGGAGAAAGCAGATCGTTGAGTGAAACGGATGAACCAGAATAGGTTTGTAAAAATGGTGCAACTTCAGTGATGTGGAACTGGTTTGGTGTTTGTCCGTCAGATCGTTCAGGTCCCGAAGTCAAACAAACACTGCAGCGTCACTGAGAGTTAAAAACTGTCTAAATTCTTTCATCTTTAATAAAACGATCAGCGTTGCTGCTTTACCAGGTGTAACTATGAAGTTTAACATCCAGGCATCCATGAAAACAGAATTTATTACATTTAACGGAGTTAGAAGTTAGCAGGAAGCTAGCGGAAGTTAGCTCGCTAGTATTATAGCATGTTCTGACTGAGAGATTTCTGAAAAAATTCAAACGTACAGCTCTGCTATCACTTCCAACATAAATGAAGACAGAAAACTAAACAGCAGTGACGTTTGTAGGGTTACTGAAGTTGGGCTAGCTGGTATATAATGATGTGCTACGTGATCGCTAGCGACACAGCTATGTTAGCATAACATAAACAGTGAAGCTGGAGGACGAACACTAACACTTTTCCACTTATAAAAGTTAACGTGAAGGTTCCTCATGGTTAGAGACAAATGCAATCGCATGGCAGGATGCTGTAAACGGACCAAACTTCAGTCAGGAGAACAACTGAGATAATCCATCCACAATACGAGGTTAGTCATTAATATACTGCAACAACATGGGAATAGAGCAGCTGTGATAGAATACAGCATTAATGAATCGATGGTACAGAAGTGGAGGAAGCAAGAAGAATGAGTTTAATAAAGTTTGATTTATCTGACTGCTTTGTTTCGCTTAATGTGCCTTATAATCCCGTGCACCTTATGGTCCGAAAAATACATATTTGACTTTTTTATTTGGCACACTGCAGTTTAATGTTGCAAAGCACCTCTTTTTAACTTCAGTGGATATTATACATGGTTATGCTCAGGATATGTCAGCCCATTTCTACTGGAAATGCCTTTTGGTTAAACTTTCAGCAAGGAATTTGCATTTGCACTGTTAATTTTATAAAGCTTTAATGCACATAAACAGCTGCTTGTTTAAGTGAAAATAAATGGATGGGTTTTTGTGCGCTAGCAAAGTTGTGGAGTTGTATTTTGTCTCGCATCAATTATATCGTCAGTTCTATCGTTATCGCAAATGTTCAAATTTATATCGTGATAAATATTTTTGGCCATATCGCCTGCTCTAACGTGCACACGGACGTGGTAAAAGCAGTCAGGATCTTTTTCAGCGGGCTGACGGGTTTGCAGCGTTTCAGGCTTTCAGTCAGATTTCTACACAGAAAATTAAATCAAGACGTGTTTTTCTCAGCAGTGCACACAAACAGCCACGTTCATGCACTCTCTCTTCCCTCCTTTCTTTCTTTACTCTTTTACTTCACTTTATACAAACTGTTACAAACTACTATTAAACTGTCAATCAAACTTCTAACTGGACCCAAAGAAACCTTTAGAAGTTTAGTTGACATGACAAAGATCTTTGGAGATTGTTCGAGTGTTTCTGTGACTGCTTGAAGCTCGTTTACAGACACCTTTAAAATAATCCCTATGGAGCAGTTCACTTTGTGCTTTCTTTGACTTTCTGACATCAAAAGTTTTATTCAAACTGTAAATGAGGCGACTGAGATGAGTTCACAGACCTGAGAGCAACAGCAGGATCAGTCCACACCTCTTCATGACTGAGAGCTGAAAAACTGTGAAGACGTCCTCATGAATCTCATCTGCAGCTGCTCGTTCATTATTAATCATAACACTTAAAGCAGCATCAACAAAGAGGCAGCTGTCTCTGTCATTCACTCCATTTCTATCTAATCTAATCATTCAAACAAAACTATCAAACATATTCAACATTTGAAACGTTCAACTTTAAAAATGTTGTCTTCCTTCAATTATCATCATTTTGTTTATTAGAATAGCAGATAATGAATGTGTGAGATTATCAAATAAACCAAACATATGCATAACATACCCGACACGATGAGACGTCTGTGCAGCTGTGACACAGTCAGAACTCTTCATCTGATAGAAATGTCATCCTCGCTCCTCCTCCCACGTCCACCAGAGACTTTGTAAAAGTGGTTTTAGAAAGCAGCCCAGTGTTCATTAAAGTGCATTTGTTTAAAGATGCTCAGAGTCGTTTAACTGAAGATGACTTATTCAAAGTTATTACAGATGCAAACAGACTGACGTCTGCCCGACCACTTCACTGTTCCTTGAATAATCTAAAGAACTTGGAAAGAAAAGCATCTGATCTTCTTTAATTTTCTTGAAGATGTTTCATGCGAGAAGCTTCTTCAGTTTTAAGGTCAATTGGTGGTGAGTGCCAGATTTTCAAGCTCTATGGGAGTGTCCCCCAAGGGGGTCATGGACCCGCTATTGATCCTCTACCTAATCACACGGATGTGAGTGGGCATTAAGGCGTCTAGGAAGGATCACCAAACTGGCTTATTGATGGCAGACAGTTGGTGTAGAAAGCCTCTGTTCAAAGAGGGTTATTCATTGTGGACATAGATGACTTCTTCACCTGTCTTGCAAACCATCTGTCTTCTCAGTCCAAATTTTGAACATTAGTGTCCTTGAAAGAGTGACCTTTGTCCTTTAGATGCAGATGGAGAGCCAAGTCCTGTCCCGCCAAGGTGGCTCCTCTATGTTGTGCCATGCCTTTATGAAATGGCTTTTTGGTGTCTCCAATATAGAGTTCTGAGGATTTTTGAGATCCCTTCCCAGACACCTTAAAGCCCACTTCTTAGAATACAATGACCTGGATGACTGAGAAACCTCAATTTTCCAGCTGACGTGGCAGGTCCGACTTAAAAACTCCCACTGGTTCAGAGGTAGCTGAGGCCTCCAGCTCAGCCTCTGGTTAGGCTCCGGGCAGTTTCTATGAAGGAGCCGGTTGAGCCTCACCAAACACATTTACAACACAGTTGTTCAATAAAACATTATTTATATGCCCACAATTGGTGTGGCAGCAATTTTTCACACCAGCCTATTAATCAACCAAAGACCCAGACAGACTTTTAATTCATTTGAAAGCCTGATGCTTCGCCTCGTCCACCCCAGCTGTGAAACTCAGAAACCAGTCTTACTTGTTATCATCTATCGTCCACCTGGGCCTTACACAGAGTTTCTGTCTGATTTCTCAGACTTTATATCTGATTTAGTTCTGAGCTCAGATAAAATAATTATTGTGGGTGATTTTAACATCCATGTAGATGCTAAAAATGACAGCCTCAACATGGCATTTAATCTGTTATTAGACTCAATTGGCTTCTCTCAAAATGTAAAAGAACCCACCCACCACTTTAATCACACTCTAGATCTTGTTTTAACATATGGCATAGAAACTGAACATTTAACAGTGTTTCCTGAAAACCCTCTCCTGTCTGATCATTTCCTGATAACATTTACATTTACAATAATTGATTACACAGCAGTGAAGAGTAGACTTTATCAAAGTAGATGTCTTTCTGAAAGCGCTGTAACTAAGTTTAAGAATATAATCCACCCACTGTTATCATCTTCAATGCCCTGTACCAACACAGAGCAGAGCAGCTATCTGAACGCTACTCCAACAGAGGTCGATTATCTTGTTAATAATTTTACCTCCTCACTACGTACGACTCTGGATACTGTAGCTCCTGTGAAAACTAAGGTCTCTAATCAGAAGTACCTGACTCCGTGGTATAATGTTACCCTGGAAGTGGTCTTATACTGGAACAGGTAAATCAACCTTCACAAACTGGGGCACAGGCGAGCCTGGTGTGGGGAAGTGTGTGACGGTATCTGCATTGGGATTCTGGTCGACCAGAGACTGTTCAGAAGAGAAGCACTTCATCTGTTACAGCGGTGAGTGGCATCGGCACCTAAAAGCACCACGACGAAGGAACAATAGTCTCTCAGATAGATAGATATATTTCTATATTTATATTATTATGTACAACTAAAACACATTTAGTCGAAGAAAAGATATCATGATCAGCATTTCTTAAAAATATCAGTTTGTAGTTTAAAAAAGGCGAATGTTGTTGGTGAACATTTCCAGCCTCTGCTCTGACTCTGTCTGCTCGCTTCCTCTTGTCTGCATGTCCTCAGTCAGCAAGAAAGAAAATAGTCAATGACAACAGTGTTGTCATGAATTCACAATAAATAAAAAGCAAACAGAAGCTTTAACCCGAGGAGTAGGAATTAGAAACTAGAGGAAAGACAACTTGACTTTTTGGGATCTCGACCTTTCTGACTTTGATAACATGTTGTATTTCAAACAAGCGGGAAGAAAATGTCCAAATACACAACTGTTAAACATGTCACTGAGATCAGTGGAGACAAGTTTAACAGTTGTGTGTCTTTGCTGATGAGATACATCACTGGGGAAGAATGAAATTCAATCATCCTGTGCTGGTTAGAAATCAGTCACTGTGTCTTTATCAGGTTATAACGCTTTCTCTCTACACTGTCAATAATCAGTCTCAGTGATTGATTAATGAGGAGCTTCTGTTAATGTGTGAAAACTGTGTTTCAGGTGAGGGAGAAGCTGGTGGAGCAAGGGATCAGAGAGGAGGTGAAGCTGAGGTGGAGGACGCAGCCTGATGGGAAGGTTTTCCACAGAGAGGAGGAGACAGCCGCTTACTGTGAGAAGGAAGACTGTGGCGGTTTAGTCTGCACACCAGGAAGTGACATCATCTGCTTTTACACTCAGCTCTCTCTTCATAATAAATATTATAAAATGTATTTAAACCAATTTATTATTGTTTTTTTAACATCTCCACATGCAGCTGAGTTACATGTTTAAATGGAGCCTCGTTTGCTCTCACTCTGGTCATTTTCTTGCA